AACCAGTAGGGTCATTTAAGTGACTACCTATTCCTTTCTGATAGCCATTGGCCATGTATATTGTTTTTACCACTGTGATGGATAAATAGCAGTTTTTCAGTGTTTTACATTTCTCCAAATACTTATGAGATTAACCATCCTTACTGTTAGTTTGTTTTTAATGTATTTACCATATTCCTTGCCTATTTTTTTCCTATTGAGTTATCCTGTTTCAGTTACTATAATTTTTTTTTTATTTTTTACATAATACATATTAGTCTCTTATATCATATACATTGTATATATATTTGTTCCCTGTAATCTTTGATTCTGGTCTGTTCCCCTAATCTATTTGTTTAATCCTGTTCCTATGCAACCCTGTTTTAAATACTCTAACTTTATTGTTCTGGTATATATTTGGGTAAAGTTGCCCTCATTACTTTTTCAAAAATGTTCTGGCTCATTTTTACATTTACAATTTAGAAATTTAAAATCCTCTTGCCAGCTTCCACCAAGAACTCCATTTAAATTCTGATTAGAAATGCAGCAGATTTATACTTAGTGAATCTTTATCTTTAAAATACTGAGCACACTCATGTAGGAACATAATGTGTGCTTACTGTGCTTTTCTGTAACACCCATCAATAATTTTGCACGTACATGTTGTTTCTTGATAGGTTTACTCCTAGAGTATCATACTATTTGCTGCTAATGTGAATAGGATTTTTCATAAGATCTTTCTTCCTTTACATTTAATGATTACTTCTAGCTTAAAGAAATCTTAATTCTGGATATTGTTCTGCAAGCTTACCATTTTACTAAACTATTACTTGTAATTTTAATGTTTTATAGTTGTCAGACTTTCCAGGAAAACAATATTTGCTTTCACCCTTTCCCATTTCATACCTTATTACACTGGGTCCATGATTCTGAATTATAGGAATAAAAACATACCTTGGGCCATGACATTAAACACACTGTTCATTTCTGGTTGATATCCTTCATCCAGTTAATAAAGTTTCCTTATATGAGTACTTTTCCCTTCTTTTTGAGTCAATAATAGATGTTAATTTTTCCATTACTTTTTCAGCATCTGCTAAAATACAGTTTTTCTCCTTTATCTGCTAATGTACCAAATTTTCATTATTGTATACATTGTCCAATGTTGACCTGGAGTCCTGGTGGGGTGCTATTCGATAAGCACTCGACCACAAGGTCGATTTGAACTGCAAGGTGGGCAGTTGAAACTCATCAGCCGTTCCCTGGAAAACCCTACACAGGGTGGCTATGGGTCAAAATTGACTTGATGGCATTTAATAACAATGTTGAACTATCCTGTTTTGTAGCCTAAACCCAAGTTAATATAGCATACTATCTTAATGCACTGCTAGCATCCTTCACATTTTTACTTAGGACTTTTACATGAATATTCATGAGTGAAAAGCTATTGCCCCTTACCCATGCCCCCAATTTTTGTTTAGATTCTGTTAGGGTTATACTTCATAGTTGGGAAGCATTCACTCTTTCCTATGCTTTGTTCCTGGTGACTTCTGTGGGGAACAGATTCTTTTATGATTATTAGCTTGTTAAGGTTTTCTAAGTCTGATGCTATTTTTTTGAAATTTGTATTGTCCTACAAAATTATTGAAGTAGATTTTCAAAATTATATGCATAAGGCTATATATATAGTTCATTTCTGATTTTCAAAGTCGCCATCATATCTATAATAAATTCCTTTTGTTTCCAGTATTTTCTTCCAAATCTTTCTCAGATTTTCTACTGTATTTTCAAACACCAGCTATTATTTTGTTCAATGATATTTTAGTTCTTCTGATTCTCTGTTACCTATTTATGTTTCCTTTTCTGGTCCTTCCTATCATATATATTCTCATTTAGGATCTGTCATATGTTGCATTATCCTTTGGGTGAATTTATACGTTCCATAGGGCAAATAAGCAATAAAGCTTTTATCATTATTATATAAATGGCTATAAAAACCGTATTAATTTAATAAGTGGGTTCCAATGTCCCACTTTGAGATCTTGACCAAATCTGAGCTCTTTCTTCATCTGTAAAAATAGAAACAGTATGTATTAAGTTTGATACAATTTGCAAATCACTTAGCATAGATATTGACACAGCAATCACTCAATAGAAGTTCAGTTAAGACAAAAGGTGTCAACTGCCCATCTCTAAAATAAGACTTGCTATTGTTAAATGCTATAAGGTACCAGTATAGCATTTCTGAGGAGCTGGTGGATCTGAATCGCTGACCATGCAGTTAGCATTCTAGTACTTATCCTATGTCGCCATACCAGCCCCCTCCCCCCAAATGAGACTGGATGACTAATTTCAAATTCCTTTTCAAGTCTGAAAAAAATTTTACTTTTCGTTTACTTAGTTCATCTACCTGACCACTAAACAATCAATGTCCCACTCCCTTAATGTTAGGAATGCTCAGAATGCAAGCTACCATCTAGAAGCTGAAAAACCTGTGGGGTGGTGGACTAGAGGTTGTTGTTGTTGTTAAGGGCTTTGAAAATCTTAGTGATCTGGTGAGGCTTTCACAAGGACTTCTGGTATGGTGCTGTGGATCAGCACTGGACTGAGAATGACATGGTCTGCAGTTCAAGCCCATCAGCTGCTCCTATGAAACTCTATAAAGATTACTATGAGTTGGAGCCAGAACCAACAGGATGGCACTTAACAACAGAGGATCAACTGGTAAACACGTAAATACAACACAGTGTTTTAAGAGGTTTAATAAATGCTGTGTGATTTCAGAGACTTTGAAGAACATATAACCAAAATAAAAGCCTGGGGTGGGATCCTTGAATTAGTCTTAAATTACTTGTGTATCATCAGGCAATTAATTTTTGTGCCTTATTTATCTGTAAAAAGTACAAACAAATACCAGTAATAACTATCCTAGAAAGTTTTAATGTTGTTAAATGCTGTCAAGTTGGTTCCAACCCATAGTGACCCTGTATAGGGTTTCTGAGGAGCAGCTGGTGAGCCTGAACTGTTGATCTTGCAGTTCAAACCGACTTTGCAGTCCAGTACATTAACCTACAGTGCCACACCTGGAGTCCAAAGTTATAATAAGGATTAAAAATTAATATAAAGCACTTAGTTTTATGCCAAACTGATCATATGACCTCAACAAGTGCCAATTAATAAAACAAAAGGCTATGCAATAACACAGAGCCCTGGAATGGCACTGTAGGATAAGCACTAGACTGCAAACCACAGCAGTTCAAACCCACTAGCCTCTCAGAAACTCTATACAGGGTCACTGAGTCAGAACCAACTAGAGGGCACGTAACAAAAAGCACCTTAAAGAGCCATTTATTGTACCTCAGGGAGGAAAGGTGGGGTTAGAGGAATTTACAAAACTCACCAGCTTCCCCTGGGAAATCCTATAAAGGGTCTCTGAGTCAGAACTGATTCAAGGGCACTGGAGTAGCTTTCGAGTAGGAGGAACAGCATTTACAAAAGTACAGAGATATGAATAAGTACTGTATAATTTCAGAGGAACAAGGTATTTGTGGCAAGGCAATACGGATGGAAAAAACAGGCTGAGAAGGGGAATCAAGAGGGCTGAATCCCCTAGAGAGGGTGCTGATTAATTGCTGTATTTCCAGCAGCTGACAGGAAAACGGAACTATATGTTTACAATAAATAGTGAACGTAGGAATGCATGTTAAGCAAGAGGGTACAGAAAAAGATCCGAGCTAAACTGAAGAAAGGAAACAAACATGCTACAGTAAAGAACTTTGGATCTGGAGTCAAGATGCAGGCAGTCTTTGGACTAACGACCTGTGTTTTTATACTGGCTCTACCACTTACCTGCTGTTTGGCCTTGGGCAAATTACTGATTCCTTGAGTGTCCTTACCTGTAAAATGAGGGTATCACCTACCTTGCAAAATTATTTTGAGAATTAAATAACAAACGATTATCAAAGAGCCTGGCACTAGTAAGCCCTCTGCAGCTGCTAAATTCTTCTTTCGGTCTGTTTCCATACTTGTGAAATGACTGGGTAAGAATAGATATTCTCCAGTGTTCCATCCAGCACTGAAAAATTATACTCGATCGGCCAAGGACGAAAAGGGGAAAGGCCCCGCCCGGCCCGCGCCACAGGTCACCTACGCAGAGTGCAATCCTGGGGCCTTCACCTGCTCGCTGAGCGATGGAGGAAGCGATCAATGCCAGGCGGCTACAGACACTGGGCCTACATAGCGGGGGTGAGACCGACCGGAATTTCACCCTAAACCGGTCGATATCACCACCCGATTTCTCCAGAGGTGAAGGCTTAAAAAAGGCTCGGGCGGGGAAATCGGAAGTGACGCAAGCCGCAAGGAACTGGAAATGACCGCAGCACGCCGGTAGTTTACTTGTTTCCAAGGCGACGGTTCCTCCTTAGTTGGAGTCGGGAAGCTAGAAAGCAACTTGGTGGAGAAGGTTCCAAGCCCGGCAGCCCCAGCATAGCCAACACGTGCTGACAATATTAACAGCCACCGCGGTGGCGAGTGGAGGAAGAGCTAAGATGATGGCGACCACTGCTGCCGGGCCTGCACAGTAAGAGTTAGTAAAGGCCTGGTAAGCAGTCACAGTGTCGCCAGCGAGGATTAGAGATAGTGTCCACCACCCAAGCAGCTCTTGGGAGAAAGTATCTGGGCATCCGCAGCAGCGACAGGAATGTAAGAGTAAGTGAAATCCGCGGCCATCAAACTAGCGACTCCGTGGTAAGAGTCTGAGAGGACCGAGGCCACCGAACCAGCGGTGCCCCAGAGGCGCTAACGCCTGCAGCATCTGTAGCTCTTGGGAGGGAGTACTTGAAGACCATCAACAGCCTCACTAGTTTCTGAGTGAAAGTGAAGACGAAAGTTCCCATCTCAGGGGCTCCGTGGACAGAAGAGAGGACCGCGGTCTCGTTCCAAGCGACGGTGACCACAGAGGTGACCGCTGCCGCAGCAGGGGCCTAGACCCAATTCCTGCCAGAAGTTCTGGGGGTTGCACCATGCCTGGTGTGCCCGACTCAGGCCCCTCCACCTCCTCCCGGATGACTGCAAAGGCAAGTAAGTATGGGAAGCCTACTCGTGGACCCTTGCTCACACTCCTTTCAGCCCACATGAGCCTGCTTCAGCTCTTTCTCAACTGCTGCTGTTGGTGGTGGTGCCATGGAGTCGGTTCCGACTCTGCGATCCTGCATAGTAGGGTTTCCGAGGCTGTAAATCTTTACGGGAGCAGGAAGCCTCATCTTCGTTCGTGAAACTGCTTGTAGTTTCGAACTGCTGATCTTGAGGTTTGCAGGCCAACTCATAACCACTACACTTCCAGAGCTCCTTCTGTCTCTGTTGGCCTTCCTCATTTCCCCTCCATGTCCTATTCTCTGTGGGCCCCCACAGCTCTTCAGCTATCCCTCTGTTCGCCCTCATTTCAGCTTTTCTCTCTTGTTTTCAGTCTCTTGCCCAGGTTTACACCAACTCTTGTTCAATCTTATGAACCTTTTAAAGTTTTCTTGGCTTCTCTGCAGCATTTGATCATATGGAGATCATAACATTAGACTTGACTAATCGGCCAGGTAGCATCATTGATGGCATCAAGTGTGGCAGCGGTAGTGAGGTTGGCCCAGGATCGGACATTGTTTCGTTCTGCTGTGAATGGGGTCGCAATGAGTCGGTTCCGACTCAATGACACCTGACAACAACAATGTTTTTTCTGGGCTTCTAGTGTGGTGTAGGATAAGTACTGAACTGCTAACCATAAGGTCGGTCGTTCAAACTCACCTTCTATTCCTTGGAAATCCTAGACAGTATTTAACAACAACAGTGTTCTTTCTGCTCTATTGGACTTCTATTTCCTTTGCTTGACTTCTTTTCTTCTCTCCTTAAATTGTGTGGGTTTTTTTTTTTTTTGCTTCCCTAGACAGTGCTGTCAACTTAACTAACACTCATTTTCTTGTCATGTGCTTTGGCTTCAACCTTACTGATAACCCCTAAAACTATGTTACTCATTTAAACATCCAGTGTACTAGGGAGGCTTCAGAAAGTTCCTGGGAAAATTCCTTTATGTTTTAATTCCATTTTTGCCATGAACTGTTTAAAGTCCCCTTGAGGTGTAGTGAATTATGTGGTTGGACTGCTACCCACAAGGTTAGTATTTGTAACCCACCAGTTGCTCTGTGGGAGACAGAGGCTCCAAAGCCTTACATAGGGTCATGAGTTGTAATAGATGTGATGGCTGTGGGTTTGGGATTTCTGTGTGTATGTTTAATGGTGTGGTGTAGGATAAGCACTGGGCTGCTAACCACAAGGCCAGTGTTTCAAACCCACCAGCCACTCCTCAGAAACCCTATACAGAGTTGCTGTTAGTTGGAACTGACTCAGTGACACTTAACAACAGAACAATATTATGTGCTATGCTTTAAGAATGTATCATTAAAGAAGAAAGACACATTCCTTATCTTCTAGTGGTGATGATGGTGGTGCCCGTGGAGTCGACTCTGATTCATAGTGATCCTGCTGCATAGGGTTTCCGAGGTTGTAAATCCTCATCTTTCTCTCGTGAAACAGCTGACCTTGAGGTTAGCAGCCTGACTCTTAACCACTACACTACCAGAGCTCCTTTGCAAATGTCATAATGAGGATTTTAGAGAAGATTATAGTGCCATTAACTTAACAACAACAACAATAGTGCCATTGTTTCCAATGCACAGTGAGTATAGGGCTCAGAAAAAAAAACAAAAAACAAAACTTCCTAACCCTGAGACCTGAATTCTGGATGTCTCCTTTGAGCTTCAAACTCATATCTACACCTCCCTCCTAGAGAAATCTTGGGCACTTCAGATCCAATATGTGCAAAATATAATTTTGTATACAAACAGTGTCCTCTATCTCAATATCACTGAAGTCCATGCAGATGACTAAGCCAAAAACCTTGGCATTATCGCATTACTGTTCCCTTGTTTGACTCAAAATGTTCAAGGAAAATGGAACTGAAAGATAATACAGTTTTTTCACGAACTTTTTAAAGCCCCCTTGTATAACCATCCAAGTTCAGTCCATCTTATTTCTATAATTGTTGAATCTGTTTCTTCTAATCCCATGCTTACTATCTTACTTGAGAGTTTGGACCTTTCTAATCAGAACTACTGCAACTGTCTCGTTACCTGATAGCCCTGACTCTCTGTTGTTAAGTGCCGTCTAGTTGGTTCCAACTCATAGCAACCTTAATATATAGGGTCTCCAAGGAGTGACTGGTGAGTTTGAACCACTGACATTGTGGTTCAAACTGACCTTGTGGTCCATTGCTTTATCCTGCAGTGCCACACCAGGACTCTTAGGCTTGCCTTTTTCCTCCCTAGGCAATGAATTCCCTTCACTGGAACCAGCCACATGAACTCAGTATCTCAAATCTAATTTTTATTATTATTCTGTTTAAAACTTATCAGCGGCTCTTCATCCTTTGCTTAAATCCAAGTGTTTTGCAACTCCTGTCTCTTGTCTAGTTCTTGCAGCATCTTGTTTTCTCCTTCCACTTTGTACCTCATCAGTGATGTGTGTGCGTGCGTACATGTGTGTGTATGTGATTTCTTAATGCCGTTTCCTGCTACTTGCTGATAAACTGCTAATCCATGAATACCCAATTTAGATGTTACCTTCAAGAATTCTTTTCTGTACCCCTTCCCTTCTACCATAGCTGAGTTGTGTCTCCTCTGTGCTTCCATAAATTCTTATGAATATTGCTGTCATTTCTCCTATCTCATTTATTTTATAATATATATATATTTAATTATATTTAAATTATAAAGTATATACCTCTAATATCTGTCTGCTCATGTAACCCCTTATTGCCTTTTAGTTCACAAAGCACATTAAAATGTTTCACAGTAAAATATGCCAGATAATGTACTCTTGAATTTTAGAACATATAGAATATAGAATAATAGAGTGTATGAACTAAAAATTGTGACCTGTGAACCCTTTTGTAGTATAGGGCATGAGAGTTGGAAAGGTAAGAATACTATTCATGCATTATACACATCAGTTAATAGTGAGGATGGGTAGACTTTGTCTCATGTACTCTGGATATATTATCAGAAGGGATCACTCCTAGGAGAAGGACATCATGGTTGTGGGCTCAGACACAGCAATGATGGTGAGGATTGAGCAATGTGTCCTGTTGTATGTAGGGTTGCTATGGGTCACAAGTATATGGCACCTAGCAACAACAACAATAACTACAAGATAATTTGATGCCACTAGAATTGTATGTTTGCCGAGTATGAGGACTTGATACAAAATACTTAGCATGTATGAGGGTGAGTGAGAAAGTATCCACGCTCTGGTTATATTAAAATGCCTGTCCACGTCCACAGCTGATGACAACACTGAGCATGTGTATGAAATGATTCTGTCAAATAGATGAGTGACAGTGAATTATGTGGCAAATCATTTGCAAATCAGCCATGGTTTTACCTACGAAATAATCCACTACAGACTTGGGTTTCAAAGAGTTTATGCAAGATGGGTATTGAATTAGCTCATGGAAGACATGAACAGAAGTGTTTGAACATCTATAAACAACATTTGGATCGATACTTTAAGGAAGGTAAAAGTTTCCTTAAGAAACTCATTAATGGTGACAAGACATGGATTCATCACTGGCTGGCTGTCTGTGTGCTGTGGAGTCGGTTCTGACTCATAGTGACCCTGTACAGGGTTTCCAAGGCTGTAAATCTTTACAGGAGCAGAAAGCCTCATCTTTCTCCTGTGGAACTGCTGGTAGTTTCGAACTGCTGACCTTGTGGTTCATAGCCCGATTCATAACCGTTACGCTTGCTACCAGAGTTCCTTTACTATGAGCCTGAAAATAAACAGGAGAGTATGGAATGGAAACATCCTCAATTGATAACAAAGAAAATGTTCAAAATCATCCCTCAGGTGGAAAATTGATGCTTACAGTTTCTGGCATTCTCAAGGGCCAGTATTGAAACACTGTCAGGGAAAAGGTTCAACAGTCAACACCGCTCCTTAAAGTGATATGTTCACTGGACAGCTGAAGCCAAAACTTCAGGTTAAATGCAGAGGGCTACTATCCAAGGGCATTGTGATCGTACATGATAATGCTTTTTTGCACACCTCTGCCCACACTGTTGACACTCTGCAAAAACTTCATTTTGAGGTGTTAAAGCATCCTTCCTGTAGTCCTGATTTTGCTCCATCAGACTTTCACCTGTTTGGTCCCCTGAAAGCACCCCTTTGAGGACAAAGATTTATCTCTGATGAAGAAGTGAAGACAGCAGTGCATTCATGGCTTGCAGCTCAGCCTAAAACAATTTTTAATAAGGGAATATGAAAGCTTGTTGATAGATGGACAAAGCATATTGAAAAGCAAGTAGATTGTGTAGGAAAAGAATGCATTTGTCTTTTCTAAAAGTTGATGAAAATAAATTCTATAGCCAAAGTGTGGATAATTTTTTACTCACCTCATAATATTTGCTTTGTAAATACTAGTTGAATAAATTACGAATAGGTTTTTACTAACTTTGGCTTTATGATAGATTTTTTTATTCGTTCAGCCAATATTTATTGATCACCTATATACTAACTTCCTAGGGCTGTCATAACAAATTGCCACAAAGCTGATGACTTATAGCAACAGAAATGGATTCTTTCACAGTTCTGGAAGGTGAAAGTTGAAATTCAGAGTATCGGTAGAGCCATGCTTTCTGAAAGCTCTAGAGGAAGATTCTTTGCCTCTTCCAGCTTCTGGTAGTTTGAGATATTCCTTGTTTGCAGCCACATAATTCTAATATCTGTGTCCGTTTTCACATGGCCATCTTTCCTTTGTAGCTCTTCTCTAATAGAGTGCTGGTCAGTAGGAACCCTGGGAGCACGATGTGGCAATCCGTGACTATAAAGATTGATTGTTGTTCTTAGATGACTTATTGTTGTTAAGTACTGTTGAGTTGGTTCTGACTCATAGCAACCCTATATAGGATTTCCAAGAAGTGGCTGGTGAGTTTGAACCATGGACTTTGTAGTTCAAAGTGATCTCATGGTTGAGTGTTTAT